ATATATATATATATATATATGTGTGTGTGTGTGTGTGTATACACATATGTATGCACCTTCTTTGGAAAACTCTCTAATTAGTACAACTCATACAAACCAATCAAGTGACATATTTATGGAAATGGCGAAGGTTTATTTATTACGATTTTGGATACTTGTGGAAGATGAGTAATCAACGCTTTAGATTTGGAAACAATCGAGATATTTATGGAACCATATATTTATTAGACTAGATGGACGACTGAGATTTGTTTGCATGGTTTGTACTAATTAAAGGGTTTGCAAAACGTGTCTCTCTCACTAACTCGCTCGCGCTCTCTCTCTCTCTCTCTCTCTCTCTCTCTATATATATATATATATATAGGGGGAGGGGGAGATTTACTTTGCAAACCACGTTATTTGTACAAACCGTACAAACCTTATTCAACCAATCATATTTTTCGTTTTCTTCATTTTTTTTGTAATTATTAGAGATTGATTAATCATTTTTATTGTGCATGGTGTTAATCATGGATATTATCATCTTCATTATATTAATTTTAGATAAATACATGAAACAGTTTCATTAAAATTTCATAAGTATTTTATGAAACAATTTCATAACCATATATGAAACAACTTTATCAAAAAAAGTATTATATGAAACAATTTCATAAGATTAAACAATGAAATTGACGGATGAGGGTGGTTTGCACGGTTTGTACAAATATGAGTGGTTTGCATTTGATCGCTCTATACATACATACATACACACACATATATATAGGAAGTTTCAAATACACACACCCACATAAACAATAATACCACTTAGAATCCTAACCTAAAATAGAAGTCACTGAATGATTGGCATCAATAGTTTGAATCTTATGCTATAGTAGTAGTAAGGGTTATCTTTGAGATTGCAGAAAAAAGGCGTTTTTGAGTATAAGGTTGATCATGAAAGTAGAACCAGATTGAAAGCTTAAACTTACTTCCAATGTTACCCCATAAACGGGTGCTTTTTCGCCTTCTACCATGATTTCCAAAGGTATCGTTCGCGTTTTCTCTGTACTGGGGTCAATAAAACCCTCCGCAGGACCTTCAGGATCGCCAGTTTGAACAACGAAGCCGTCCGCTAAAGGAAAAAAAATAACAAATGATTAAATCGTCAAAACCTTGAGTAACGTATTCAAAGCAAGCTATAAACCAAACGAAACAAAGGAAAATTGACTGAAATAGCCAACCCCATCAACCAAATTCACTTTTTAGCCACTTCTCAGAGCCTCAATACTTTACACATATGCATAAAGACTGATTTCTGTAAGAAAAATAGAAGGAAGAAAAATCCTTATGCATATGCAAAAAAATACTGGCGCAAAAATTTGAATCTTTACGCAAAAAAAAAGATCTTTCTTTTTAATCTGAAAATTAAGTTTACGCAAATGCGTAAGACATTTGCGTAAACTCCGGCTAAAATAGGAATTCAATAGAAAAGGTGGCTAAAAAGTGAAGTTGGTTGGAGAGATTGGCTATTTTGGTCAATTTGCCCCAAACAAACCCAATTTATCCCCTAGAGGTGGGTTTGGAAGTGGGACCTACACAGAGCTGACCTCTGAATAGAGCATTGTTTCTAGAAAGACCCCTGGCTTGTGCAAAGTGTGCATTCAGGGTAAGCTATAAACCAAACTAAACAAAACAAATCCAGTATATCCTCATGAGTGGGATCTACGCAGACCCAAAAAGTAGAATAGTTGTTTCCATGAAGACCTCTGGATTGTGCAAAAGTGTGCATTCAAAGCACGCTACGAAAATGTTTCAATGAAGATTAGATCTAGTTAAATAATCTTGCCTCTTTGGATTTCCATGCCATCGTAGAAATGTCTTTCGACCAAATCTACAAAATTTCCGGCAGTTACAGGGGCATTATAACCATCTAGAACGATTCTGAATATGCATTCCTCGAGGTTAGGATTGTCTTTGACTTTGACTTTCATATCCACCGTCGCTCGACCCTTCAGAAGAGGCATGTTTTGATACTCTTCCGGAATGTCATATGGGAAGCCATCGACCATATCCTCTTCAACACTGCAGAAACCCAATGCCCCAGGAAGATCTCAGCTGCAGTCAATGGACAAAGGGTATAAATGAGAAAAAAGCTATTTTAGTGACGGGTTTTCCCTAATTTTTATTTTTTAAGTACTCCCACTGTCCCAAAAAAAATGTCCATAATACACAATTTTTGGAATGTATAATTATTACACTTTTTAATTATTTGAATTGACAATTCTACACTCAAACATCTCATAATTATGGGTAGAATAGAAAATAAGGCATTTACTTTTGAAAATGGACACTTATTTTGAGACAAATTAAGAACTTGCTTATTAACAGCTTAATGAGACTTACAGCTTATTTAGCTATAGATGACTATTTGGTAGTGGTTTAGTGATATATAAAGTGGCTTATTCAATAAGCTTCCAGGAGGGAGCTTTATGCAGAAAGCCAAGGTTTTTCCAAACCTGCCCCTTCCAATAAAAAAACATGGTCACTCCATCTATGAAAAAATCTTCCCAATATATACAGACAAATTAATAGCTTTATGGAAAACCAACCAAACAACCCCTAAAATAGATACGTGAACACTTATTTTGGGACAGAGGAAGTATATAATATTTATATACACTATACAGCAAAACTCACACATATTCACATTTGGTGAGGTTTAAACCCCTGACCTCTAGGAAAGTTGGGTTACCGGATACTGCTAAGCCAATGACCCTTTGGTTTTTCCCTACTTCTATGTTGAGAAAGGAGGAAAGGGTAGTGGGCAATTTCATTGTTAGTTGATTAAGATGGGGGTTTTCCTACTTCTATAGTCGATTAACCTGGAATCCTTTCGTTTTCAAACTTTTTGGGCTATCTTTTTCTCTTTCACAAACTTTTAACAAGCCAAGGGGCTTCACGGGAACAACTATTTTACCCTTCGGGTAAAGGTCAGGTTTGCATACATCTCTGGACCCACCTTTGGATGGGATATATTGGGCTCGTTTGGTGTGATTCGGTTTCTCACATGGAGAATTCCTAGTTTTTCCCATCTACTATCCCACTAAACAACTATCATGTTTCAAGCTTGGTCATGAATTGCATAATTAGAACCCGAAAAAAAAACGCAAGTTTTGAATACTTACCCTCCAACATATTGCAAAAGCTCCTTTTGTTTAGGTGCTATGGCCTCTCGTTTTCTATCCTCCGTTATTTTTTGGAGCTCTTCCATTCCAACTTCTAGCTTTCCAAGCAATTCGATTGCATGATCCTTCTTTGATTCAGCTAATCCTGCTATAATCATGTTCTTTCCTTGCTTAAGAGATCTAGAAGCTTGTTTCAAATTCTACAATTCACAAGAAGACAAAGCTCGTAAACATTTTCCCAAATCATTTTAATCATCACTCTCAATATTCACTACAACAAATATGCTTTTATAGGAGGCTAAATATGTCTAAATGTCCTAATAGACTGCTTTATATGGCCAGACAATTGTGTGTCATATGTATAGGTTTTACATAAGTTGATAGGATGTTTTTGGGCATCATAACAAGTTTTTAGGACACTTTTGAAATAAAACGTCATATTAGCTTTTCTATATGACACTCGAAAAGTGTCCTATGAATCCATCTTTTTAGAGGACACTTGTTTTATAAGACACATTTTCAAATAATGTTCATATAAAAAGATTAATAAGATGATTTATTTCAAAATTGTCCAAGAAAAAAGTGTTACGATGCCCAAAAATGTCCTATCAACTTATTGCAACACCTATACATATGACACAGACACACAATTGTTTGGTCCTATAAACTTGTCATACAAATTAACATATTAGGACATTTAGATATATTTGACGTCTTATTAAGCAGATTTCGTTGTAGTGATTTTTGCTACCAAATACAAATAAAAATGAATGAGAGAGTCTCACTCTTTCGGTCGAATCAATGGCCTTCACTCCAGCAACCTTAAGACTCTCGGTAATGTCTTCTAGAGGCTTCTGGACCTCCCTGATGGCTTTATTATCGATTGGCAAAGCGTAACGAAGTAACGCTCCAGGATCCTTGATCGGAGGCCCGGATATCAGCACGGCTAAATCCGACAATGCCGGAGTAATTGCATCAGCATTACTAGGGAAGCCCAATGTTGGCACCCCAGTTATCAACCCGATTGCTAAAGCTACTGATAACACACATTCTTTTATCCCGGAAAACCTTTCTTTCTGGCCATAAAGAAAGACAAAAGTTCCATTAGCATTCTGAACATAATCTACATATTGCATGGGATTCTTTTAACTTCAAAATTCATGTGGATTTCAAAATTTTCACAAAAGAAAATATCGTCGTAAACAAAAAGGCAAAATGCAACAGAATTTGGTTTAGTTCCTATTTAAAGTAACAAATAAATATTCCCCCAATCAATGTGACAAGGTTTCAAAATTTCCTATTCAATGTAATAAAGTTTCAAAAAATTTAATCAATGTTATGAAGTTTCAAAATGTACTAATTAATGTAACATTTGATGTAGTGAATCTAAGTTTTTCGTCCACTTCGTCGTAACAAACATTTTTTTTTGTAAACGGATATTCACGTAATCAAATGTTACAAAATCAACATTTTTGAAACTTTGTTACATTTATTGACAAAAAATAATTACTCCCTCCATTCCAAAATAAAAAAGGAAACACATCTTTTTTTTATTAACCTAGATATCCAACCCGCTATGCGAGCTGACTAATCCCAGGGCGACCACCTGCTTTGCAGATAGCCCGGAGTCACAGCATTTGAACCTCCATGGCCACAAGGGGATTTTTATTCCTACTTAGGATTTGAATCTGGGACCTCCAGGTACTTTTGACCTTTGGAGCCAAGCTCAAACCAATCAAGGTGGTTAAGGAAACACAACTTTAGGAATGTACTATTACTACACTTCTTAATTAACTAAACGACAACTTTACCCTTAACAATAGATGGAGTTTTGAATTTCTAATCTAAGAATTGGAAAGTTGGGCCAAACTAACATAGAAATCTATGCATCTATTTTGGGACGGAAGGGAGTATTTCTCCACACAAAATAGGAACTAAACCAACTTCGTTACATTTTTATGTAATTGGCCATAAGTAAAAACTACATTGGTAATAACCTAATTGAACATCCATATCAATTTTGCATCTAAACAGAATTAGGGCTAAAATCAAACTCAAAATCAAAATGCAGCTCAACTGTGGGAGTAATTCGAATCACTTATATAATCAATGTTAGAGATTAGATCAAGCAGAAAGTAAAAACAAGAGTAGCATTACTCACCTGTTTATCGCTGAATTGAAGTCGATTAGGGTTTATAGAAGACGAAATAGGTCTGAAGCGTCGAATGGAAGTGGTGGTGGTGGGAGAATGCGAAAGACGAATGTAGTTAGTGGATTGATTAGGGTTGTTGAAGAGGGATGATTTAGAAGTGGTATAAAGCGAAGAACAAGAGAAAATGGCTGCCATTTTTGTTATTGAAGCAAAAATGTGAGAGAGATGATGAAGATTAAGAAAGTAAGAGCAGGGTTTTTGTTTTAGAATGGAGAGATAAGGTTTTGAAGAAGAAAGAATGGAGGGGACATGGATGAGCCTCACGCTATGGATAAGATCAGAAGATCATGTTCTTCAACTCCCTATGGATTCTACAGTTACCACTTACCAGAGTTACCACTTACCAGTAGGTATTATCAAAATAAATGACATTTTCCCATTTTACCCTCACCATCAATACTTGACATGCGCCTACTTGTTTTTATAACGGGTGGAGCCCATTACAGGATAGGGAGAAGAAGGGGCAGGGGGCAGGGGGCAGGGTAACACCTCCGATCACCATTGTCATCGTCACAACCCCACCCACCTACCCTCACCTAGGGCTAGGGCTGTCCACGGTTCGGAGTTCGGACCATAAAAGGGCTAACCCGATTGGGTATCAGGTTACAATACCATAGCCCGTAATATGCAGTTCGGGTTCAGGGTGGCTAAAAATCATACAAACGAAGTCTCCATATACGTACTTTGAAATTTAAAAATGGTTATGAAAGATATGGTTAAGAGTAAATTTAGTAACCAATTTAATCCACATTGTTGATTATCTTCATGAAAGGTAGTTTTAAATACAAACTATACAATCAATCTTAACTGTCCATCTAGTCAAACAAATATTTGGTTTCATAAATATCTCGATTATTTCTTAATCTAAAGTCATAGACATAATGAATATACTTTATCATCTTCCATAAATATTTTTTACCATAATGAATGAATTATTATCATTATCCATAAATATCTTGATTGTTTCATAATGTAAACGTTGGTTGCTATTTGTAAGAATTGAATGTTTGTATTAGAAACCTCATCTATATATACATATTGTTGGGTTATTGTAAGAAATAAAACTTTCAAATAACTTCATTCACCCCTTTTTGGGGTAGGCCCGAAAAAAACCTGGTCTAAAAAAGCCCGATCAAACCTTTTTAAACCCAACCTAGCACGAACCTAAAAAAGCCGAGGCTTTCTTTTTTCTCATTTGAAACGGTTCTCAACCCTTGGATTAGATCTTTAATCGTCAGATCTGAATAATTACAAAATTGTCACTGTGCAACTTTAGATCATTAGCTTATAAAGTTGATCAATGGACATAAATTGGTCTTACGGGTCTCACGAAAAAACTTTGGTCTCACGTGAACCCAACCCTATATATATATATATATATATATATATATATATATATAGGGTTGGATTCACGTGAGACCAGCCTGTTTTCGTGAGACCCGTGAAACCACATTTTTACACATAACCTTCACAGCAAAAACACTGTGAAGGTTTAAAAAAAGTCGAACCCTGTGAAGGTTTTAAAAAGTCACATTCACAGCATTTTGCTGTGAAGTTTCAAGTGTAAAATGTTGGTCTCACGGGTCTCACGAAAACAGGCTGGTCTCACATGATCCCAAGTCTATATATATATATATATATATATATATATATATATATATATATATATATATATATATAGGGTTGGGTCACGTGAGACCAAGGGGTTTTCATGAGACCCGTGAGACCAATTTATGTTCATTGATTAACTTTATAAGTTAATGATCTAATGGTCTAAAATTGCACGGTGGCAATTTTGTAATTATTGAGAAGTCTCGTGGTAATTTTGTGATTATGAATGTTGAGATTGTAAATCTAATCCAAGGGTTGAGAATTGATCTTACGAGTCTCACGAAAAAGCCTTGGTCTCATATGATCCCAAGTCTATATATATATATGGTATATTTCAAATGCAACCATATCCATTTATACAACCAATGCAACTCAATTAATTGATGATTTGAATATTTATGAAAGATGAATATGGTTCATTAATTATGATTAATACTTTATATTAGAAAACAATCAAAACTTGTATGAAATCACATATTTATCAAACTAAATAGACGATTGAGATTGGATTGTATTGGTTGTACAAATGTAAATGGTTGTATAATAACTCCTCTCTCTCTCTATCTCTCTCTATCTCTCTCCCTCTCTCTCTCTCTCTCTCTCTCTATATATATATATATAAACACGTACATATTGTTGTTGGGTTCTTATAAGAAAACTTTCAAATAACTTCATTTAGCTGCTTTTGAAGTAGACCCGAAAAAACCCTGATCAAGCCCTTTTCAACCCGACCTGACACGGACCTAAGAAAGTCCCGCCTTTATTTTTGCTCACTTGTAACGGGTTTTTTCAGGACCGGACCCAAACAAACGAAAAAAGCTTAAACCTTGTGCATTTCTAGATGTGAGCAAAATGAGCAAGTACATCTTATCAGATTTTCATTATTACGTGGATATTATTTAAATTGTATCCTTAAACATAAAATCTCCGTGTGTTGGCATATAAGTACAGCTATCAAAACACAAGGTACAACCAAGCAATGCATGAAAATTGGAACCTTGGATATGTCCCTATGTGAGTGATTCCATGGATGAGTATATATTCCCATTCGATTGCTACAAGAATATGAAGACAATAATCACATATTATAATTTGACGTTGTACCCAATCAAACAAACATTCTTCACTTCAACCATTTCCGATATAAACAAAACTCCCACATTTTTCCCATCCAAATTTGTTCCTTTCCTCATAAAAACTGATTAAACTCCCACTTTGATCATTACCAGATCTGCCATTGATCGTGCAAATTTATCATTCCTAAACCAACGGTATAAATCTACAGTTGATTGTGCAAGGATACCACCGTGGAACCAACTGTGCAGATTTGCAGTTGATTGCGCAAAGATACTACCCTGTAACCAACTGCAAAGATGCCGTTGATTATGCAAGTATACTATCAAACGCGCAAATTTGCTATTCATCGTGCAAATATATCATCCTGAAACCAATTGTTTAAATCTGCCATTGATTGCGTAGACCATGGAATCAACCGTGCAAAACTGCAGTTGATTATGCAAGTATACCACCTTGAAACCAACTGTTCAGATTTACAGTTAATTGTGCAAGTATACCACCTCGGAACCCAAATGTGTAAATATGTTGTTGATTGTGCAAGTATGCCACCATGAAACCGACTGTGGAGATTTGTAGTTGATTCTGTAAGTATACCACCCCGAAACCCAATTGTGCAAATTTGTCTTTGATTGTACAAGTATATCACCCTCAAACTAACTATGCAGATTTATAGTTGATTTGTGCAAGTATACCACCCTAAAACCAACTGTGCAGATTTGCAGTTGATTGTGTAAGTATACCACCTTGAAACCTCCTTGAAACCAATTGTGAAAATCTGCCGTTGATTGTGCAAGTATACCACCCTGGAACCAATTGTGCAAATCTACCTATTATGTGCGAATATCTCACCCCAAAAATATCTGTGGAAATCTACCATTGATTCTGCAAATATATACCATCCCGGAATCAAGTGTACGAGTCTGGCATTGTTGATGGATTGCCAAAAGCTAATGCTCACCACCTTCATCTTGATGTTCTTTTGGTTTACTGGTTCAATTAAGAACACGGTTTCGCAGCCTTCTTCGGCTGACTGTCCTCTAGACTTGAGGTACTTCACAAGGCCACAAAACTTCACATGTGAAGAAGGGACGTGGAACGATTTTCTGCACGATAAATGCTGTAAAGGACCGTTTAATATGTACCTCGATGCACTGGCTCTGCGTGCGAATCAGACCTTACAGATATACTTGAATTCAACTGAACAAACGAGTTGCTTGATGCAGATGAAGGATAATATAACGGATGTATTTAGTTGTGGAATCGATAAGCTAACGAATGGTATAAATGGCTGCTCGGATTTCTCGGTTCAAGATGTGCTTACGGAGCTCCATGCTGAATTTGAAGGTTTATTGGCGGGCTGCGGTTTATTAGGCCACGAAGGAGATGGTGATGGTTGGCGTCGAGCATGTGGAAATTGTGTACAGAGTTGGAAAGAGATTAAAGGGATAACATCTAGAGATGGTGATGCTGATTTATGCAGGTTTGCGGTGTTGACTTCATTGACCGGTAGTAGAATCGATGACTTCGTTTGGATGCAGAACATCCACAAATGCCTCGGAGAGCAGGTTATGGACAAGGGTAATGATCTGTGTTAAGATACATGGGAACCTTCCAATCACTATCTAAAAGAGCCGTTATAGAAGGATAAGAGGTTCTTACATCCATACACATATATAGAGGGAGAGAGAATGAGTGAGGTTAAGGGAAACCCCCAAGAAAATGAAAAACTGGAGAAACCCCTAATAACCATTGATTTGTACGGTATGTACATGTGCATACAAGTTTTTCATTTTCTAGGGGTTTTCAGTTAACCTCCCTCTCTCTCTCTCTCTCTCTCTATATATATATATATATATATATATAGTTTGTGTCTAGTTGGGACTCCAATACAAGCTAGACGTACCCCCCGGAACGGATGCAAAATGGTGTGTCGAGTCCCTAGATATGGTAGATCGTTGATCTGATACTATATGGAACCCTTGTGAATCTATCTAAAAGCCATTATAGAATGATGAGAGGTTCTTACATGTACACAAGTTTGATAGTCCGCTTCTAGTTGGGACTCCAAAACAAGCTAGACGGTGCTCCCTGGAATGGAGGCAAAAGAGTGTGTCAAGTCCCTAAATGTGGTAGACCCTGGATCTGATACCATGTTAACATATGTGGAGGCCCTTTGAATCTCTATAAAAACGTTTATATATATATAGAGAGAGAGAGAGAGAGAGAGCACGCTAACATCTACCATTTCACGTTACAAATTCTATTTAGAGACACTTACCCTCTTCATCTTTCTGCAGTCTATTTAGAGACACTTACCCTCTTCATCATTCTCTGCAGATATAAAATATGAGACGGGTACACCAGGAAGAAAGAAGAACATAACATGTACGCTCTCGAATAAACTTCTACCCTTCTCTGTTTTGTGCCTATCAAGTGAACTTGATCCATGACTGCTTTTAATTCTTAACAAAAGATAGAAAAATAAAATCGAAATGTTAAAAGACCAATTTGGCCCAGCAGTATTTGGGTTACTGGTAGAGCCCAGCCTCCCATGAGGTCAAGGGTTCAAAACAAGGTGAGAAGTGTGCATGAGTATTTGCCATATATAAATATGAATCATACTAAAATGTTAAAAGTTTTGTTCAAACAGACTCCGATCTAATTGGACTGCTATCAGGGATCTCGGCAATGGTAGTTGTTTGTGTTTATATCATAGCAAGACGACGGTATAGATCACATGTAATAGCAAATGAAGATGGTACGGCTAATTTGGTATAAAATTTGGGTTTATGTAATCATATGGTAAAAACTTCAGACGAATATGTGTAACTTTATATGATTTACTTCACAGGCATGAAACGTGATCTACCAAAGAAGTCTCAATATCTTGAAGTTCCAGTGAAGGAGATCCATTATGCCACAAATAACTTGGACCAATTAAACTACATTGGTGAAGGAACAGCAGGTGAGCAGCATTTATCTTTAGTATGCCCACTTACAGTCGCTCTACTCTTTAGGATAGAGGTCAGGTTTGTTGCTGCATACATCATACTCCTTAGACCCCACCTCCTGGTGGGAACTTGGAAATATTGGGCTCGTTTGGTTTTCTTGTACTTATCTCCCTTATGTCCACTTACAGTCACTCTACTCTTTGGGAGAGAGATCAGGTAAGCATACATCATACCCTATTTACCCCACCTTTGGGTGGGAAATGGGATATACTAGGCTCGTTTGGTTTGTTATAAATTCCTAAGTAACTTATCTTTAGGAACGACTAATGTAATATGAGCATAACAGGAAAGGTGTATAGGGGGATATTGTCGAATAAACAGCATGTGGCTGTCAAGCATATCATCAATGACGGGTTTGTAGAAACTTTTCTAAGGGAAGTTAGGAATCTTGCCCTTGTTAGACATCCGAATCTTGTGGCATTGCTAGGGTATTGTGATAATGGTGATGAATGCTTCCTCATTTATGAACTATGTACCAATGGGAATCTCTCGGAGTGGCTTTTTGGTGGTATTTTTCTAGTTTTTCTACATAATGAGAATCTATTGTCCCCAAATCCCATGTCCCCTCTCAGTCCCACCAATCACATGAAGATATGATGATGTGTTTTCATGTGATTGGTGGACAAGGAGGGGACATGGGATTTGGGACGAGAGTTTTATTCTTTTCCTACATATCTGGCTATCCCTTTCCATGTTGAGCCTTAATTTGATCATCTTCTAATCCGCTCATTTCTAATCAGGAAAGAATAAAGTGTTGTCATGGATTCAAAGGCTTGAGATTGCAATTGATTGTGCTCGAGGACTTTGGTTTCTCCACACATATTCAGAGGGTTGTATTGTTCATCGTGATATTAAGGTTTGTGCATACCTAATTAGTTAAAAATGTTTATGTTTGTTGGAGATCCACATCAGCTAAACTTGGACCATTTCTCCTCGATATATATTGGAACCTCCCTTCTCTCCTCAAAGGCCCTTTTGGAGAGTAATCTATGGGGTTTCACATATTACCACATGATATCAGAGTCGAGGTTTACAATTCTAGGGACTCGACACTCCAGAACAATTTGTGCTCGTCTAGCCTTAGTTGGAGGGGACGTGTTGGAATCCCACATTGGCTCGTCAATATATATTGGAACCTCTCTTCTCTCCTCGATGGCTCTTTTGGAGAGTAACCTAATGGGATTCCACATATTCTCACAATGTTTATGTGGTGCACGGAGTATATTAATCCGTATTTTATAAACTGCAGCCAACAAACATACTCTTAGGGCCAAACTTTGAGGCCAAGCTTTCTGATTTTGGATTGTCCAAGGTTATTGACATTGGCGAAACACATGTGAGCTCAGAGGTCAGAGGAACATTTGGTTATGTTGATCCAGAGTACCAAAGTGACCGTCAAGTCAATTCAGCAGGTGATGTCTACAGTTTCGGAATAGTGCTTCTACAAATTCTCTCGGGAAGAAAAGTTATAAACATGAATGCAAGCAACCCCATGCCACTGGGGAGGACGGTAAACATCTTCCGTTGGTTACTCATTTTACTTTTGTACTCCTTGCGTCCCAAAATAAAATGTCCAAATCAGCTTTAGTAATGTACTAATATACTTTTTGATTAACCAAATGAAAATTTTACCCTTAATAATAGAGATATCGTCTCATAATTAATGGTAGAATTAGAAAGTAGACACTAATAGAGAGATCGTCTCATAATTAATGGTAGAATTAGAAAGTAGACACTTAGTTTTGGAAGTACACACTTATTTCGGAACAAACTAAAATAGAAATGCGAAAACTTATTTTGGGACAGACGGAGTATAAAGGAAGCACAATAAATGGAAACAACCTCTTTGTCCCTTGAGAACAGAGTAAAGGTCTGTGTGCCTCCTACCCCTACCCCCCCCCCCCCCCCCACCTACCTAACTTCAGGTGAATATATTGGGTTTGTTTGGTTTGGTTTTTTTAAGCACGATAAATCTAAAAAATTAAGAAATTATACAGGCAAAGTCGCTCACCAAGGGTGGCAGCATAGTAGGATTCGCCGATCCAAAGCTTGAAAGTGAATACTCTGCAGACGCCTTTGAACTTACATTTAAGCTAGCTCTGTCGTGCACAGGACACAAGCAAGAAAGACCGTCCATGGAAAAGACGGTTGAACAATTGGAGAAGTCCCATGAAATATCAGTCAGCCAGATGACTTCATACCTTCATAAGACATGAGATTGGTCATCATTCATCAACACCTTAATATCAAGATTTCAATAGTATTTGCATACAAGATACACACAGAGGACACAATGTGAATTGTGGTGTACATTTGGCCAACAATCAATTTTGGTAACACCAAGTTCTGGTTGTCGGTAGCTCTTATACTCAAAATTTTCACATTCAATTTCAAGGGTGGCACTGTTGTCAATACAAGATTACGCAGCTAGGCTTATAGCAGAGATGGATTCAGGTTTGTATAATAAGCATCTTAAACTGTAACATCATTATTCAAACTGCTCTTGAATATATATATATATATATATATATATGTGTGTGTGTGTGTGTGTGTGTGCGTGTGTGTGTGAGAGAGAGAGAGACAGAGAGGGAGAGAGAAGGAGAGAGATCTCTTTGTAATGTTAGGAATGGAACTTCCATCATCGAATTTCGAATATTATACAAGTGAATTAATACTTCTGTATCGGGGCAACCGCTTGATTTATTGGTATGCTTCTATGATTAGGGACATCTTGCTATGTTTTACAATATATTAGGTGTGTGCCTTCAAATAGCATCCATATGAAAATGAAAAATTAAGCTTTCATAAAAACATATCTCGGTTACAGAGTTCTTTTTGTATTTTCAAGAGGGAAAAATTGTCCAAAATAGTCATCTTGGCCTCATCTCTCTTTATAGCCACCTTTTCAACCAACTGACCAAAATAACCAAGATTTCACGAGTAACACTTTAGCAACTTGCGAAATCCACTTCTTTTTAATATAATATTCATAAAGTAGCAATATCGCAAGTTGCTAATGTGCTACTTACGAAATGCTAACATGGAAGTTCCACTTCCGCACTTGCTAAAGTGCTACTTGCCACGTCAGCATTTCGCAAGTAGCACTTAGCAACCTGCTAGATTGGTACTTTATGAATATTAAATTAATAAAAGTAGATTTCGCAAAATTTCACTCAATTTTGAGTAGAAAAGCAGCTAGAAAATGAATTGGGGAGTCCAGAATAGCTATTTGGGACAATTTCAAGCAATGTTGGTCCATGTTCTGCATAACATAGACCATGCAAACAGCATCACAACAACCCATTGCTCTTGATAGCATGCTGCCTGTATTTGAATATATGCACTTCATAATGCAAAATTTAGCTTCATAAAAGCATATCATGGGTTCATGGTTACAGACTTACAGAGTTCTTTTTATTTTATTTTCATATAGATGTTTGATGATCCGCCTAATATAATTAATATAGAACATAGAAAGGCGTTCCAGATCATAGAAGCATACCAGTGGCCCCTAATAAGATATTGCAAATTAGATCGTGGAAGCTCCATTTACAAAGAGTTCTAACATACATATATACTCGAGCAATTTGATCAACGATGTTACAGTTTAAGATGCTTATATACAAAACATCTCAGTTTTACACCATTGTTTCGATCAGAATTGCACATCAACTACCAAAAACTTTCAAGCCCTAAATTAACATAAATTAAAATGCACGAGATTAGACGACTACACAATTGCACTATCAACTCAATAAAATCTTCCAAATTCGATCATCCAAGCTCCATTCCTAACATTATAGAGAGATCTCACACATATGTATTCGAGAGCAATTTGATCAACGAAGTTACACGCTTATTATACAAAACACCTCAGCTTTATGCCATCATTTCGAGCAGAATTACACATCAACTACTAAGAAACTTTCAATCCTTAAATTAACATAAATTAAAATGCACGAGATTAGACGACTGCGCAATTGCACTATCGACTCAAGTACGATCAATCGATCATGTTTTGTTCAACAATTACAAATTATCCGGTATACCTTAAGGTCTCGCTGTCCGCAGTCGCCGGAAATGGTGACGGAGACCGGAAATCGACGCCGTCCGATTAACCTTCCGTCACGGCGAGGGTTTCCATGAGCTCAAATGGCGGGAGAGAAGGGGGCCCATTGTGGTAGTTGGGATTTTTCTAGAATAAAAGGAGAATCGTGCGCGTGGGGGTATTTGGTCTCGTTTAGCGCGTGAAGAGTACTTTCCACGCTTCATATTCTGCCACGTGGTATATTTGGATTAAGAGGGCCTCATTTTATAGTATCTTTTTTAAAACTTAAATATTTTTTTGATTCTATTATATATAAATAAGGTTATAATTTTTTAGAATAAAATCGTATAAAAAAATAACGTACTTTAATTTGATTTTTATTTTGAGTAATTTATTTTTAAAACTTCTATTTTAGTATCTAAGATGTAAAGTTTTAAATATTCAAGAACCTGGCTAACCGGATGAAGCATTACCGATTATCATGTTGATGTGGCGAGTGATAATGGTATCCAACTCAGTATTATTTGCTATTCAACTCAATTTCATCTCATTACTTGCCATATTAGCATGGTAACCGGTTAGTGTTAAATTTTTTAATATATTTTAAATATCTTTCACTCAATTTTTTCATTTCACTTGCACCCGTTATTTTTTTACGGAGGTTTATTTCTTTTTTATCTTGAAATGATAAAAAAAATTTAATAAAATGTTGTGAAGGTAAACAAAGTCGAACTTTCACAGCAAAAACACTGTGAATATTACGTTTACAATGTTTTGTTGTTAAGTTTCAAGTGTAAAAAAATAATCTTATAGGTCTCACGAAAATATGTTGGGCTCATGTGATCTCAAGTCTCTCTCTCTCTCTCA